CTTGCGGCTTTAATTTGGTCCTTCGAGCCGGATTCAGCCGGATACAGTTAAAGAGTGAATATTCGAAGATGAGCTCAATTCAGTAGACAGTGAACAGTGGTGAATAGCAATCAAGAATCTTTGTTATCGAGAAAGGATTCACCTCAGCATCAGAGAACTATCAGTACGTTCCTGATTCGGCTTGAAAGAAAGGTCAACGGGAAATATTATTAAGCTCTCGATCAAGCGGCACTATAGCATCAGACGGTCCCGCACCAGTCAGCATTCTAACTGTAGTCAACTTCAGCATCGTCGATCTAATCTCCTGTCTAATTCCGGTAAGCAAATCCTTATTCTTATACTAGCAGAGATGGAAGCTCAATTAAGGTCATTAGTCAATGAGCGTCGTGCGATCAAGGCCTCATTGATGAGGTTTAGGAAATTCTTCGAAGAGTCGAAAGAATCGGTCACGCTTACGGAAATTAAAACCCGGTATGAACTGTGTAAGTCTTTGTACGATAAATACATGAATGTTCAAACAAGCATTGAGGAAATTGTTCAAGGGACTGAGTCCGAATCACTACACACAGCTCATCTCGTTGAATTCGAGAATGAATATTTCAAAATAATGTCCATGGTTGAGGATTTTATAGAAGACGCACGTGCACGTCAAAAAACAGAAAAGAATGTCTCTTCAGAATTGGTTAGAATTGATTATGCCTCTCTCCCATATTCAGCAACAGTCTCTGGCAATGTTACCCCAAATAAAATTGTCAACTTTTGATGGATCTACCAAGAATTGGATAATTTTCAGAGACGCATTTGTGTCATTAATCCAGAATAATGAATCTCTATCAGATTTGCAAAGATTCTATTATTTACGGGCATCGTTAAAGGACCACGCTGCTCGCACGATCCAATCCTTGGGCGTATCCGAAGCAAATTACAGGGTGGTTTGAGAGAGTTTACAAAACCGATATGAGAAAATCGCTAATCTTCCGGCTTATTACGCGGGTGCACTTCTAGAACTGCCAGTCATTAAAAATAGATCTTCTACCGCGATAAAAAAATTTATTGATGATGCAAAAAATTATCTCCGCGCGCTGGAGAAATTAGATGAAGTATCATGGCGGGATACCATGATTTTAGTAATTTTGACTAGGAAATTAGATTCAGTAACGTTAGGCGAATGGCGCAAACGAACATTAGCAATCCTACATTCGAAGAGTTCTGTCAATTCCTAGAAACACGGGCCACATATTTAGAATGTTTCCCAACGAATAATCAACGGCCATGTTGAATGAATCCTCCGACGCGCCAACCAGAATGAGCAATGGCGCACGTAGTTAGTGCTTCCTCGGTATATCCAGTTTGTCCAGGCAAATACTACAATGTAAAAGGTTTAAAGAGTTAAGTACAGACGAAAGGGCAAAAATCGTGGAGCAGGCGAAACTTTTTTTGTTTCAATTATTTACAATCGGGACATTGCGTGAAGGCATGTACGCGCCGAGCTTATAAGACGTGTGGACTCAAACATCACACGTTATTACATCGGCGCAATATTCAAGTAGAAGACTCAGGACCCCTCCGACGGAAGTCTTGAGTCATAAAGGAGTAGCTTAACAAAAAATAGACCATTAGCCGCATCCTGCATCACAAATGTTACGACCTATTCTTCATCTAAGGAATATGCAATATTGTCAACAGCGGTCATTTTCGTGAAGGACAGTCGAGGTAAGAAACAGAAATGCCGAGTTCTACATTCGGGCTCTCAATGCAATTTGATCACCCAGGAATTATGTAAGAGCTTGGGGATAAAAAAAAACAAACGAAATTAAATATTTCGGGCATCGGAGGCTTAGTTACCTCGGTATCAAGAGAAACAGTCATTAATATCTTTTCTGAATATAATGATTTTAGCACCAATCTGACCATATATAAAATTACAATAGACTTGCCGAATCTCTCGCTATGAAGGAAAATTTAAAAATACCGTCACATCAGCTGTTCATATCATTCATCCTTAACTCAAAGAATGTAGGAAAATAGATATGCTTATAGGCAGGCACATACTGGCAACTATTATGTGTAGGTCAGCACCGGGCAGGCCCTCAATTATTGTGGCAAACAACTCAGCTGGCTGCTCGGCGGCACTTTAACATAACTGACAGGCTCTGAAACGCGTCAGCTATAACTTAGTTAGAAACAGCGACCTAGATAAACAACTTGCCAAATTCTAGAAAATAAAGGAGATATTCGCGAGGTCCACAAGGAAAAAATTACTGTGAAATCCATTTTTCAGAAAACACTCAACAGTCGACAAACAGGCGTTACATAATTAGCATACCATTTCAAGAAAATATACTTCAATTAGATGAGTCGCGCGACTATATTCTCTTGAAAGAAAATTATCTTGGCAATCGGAATTGTAATCGTGATCAAGAGTTCATGGCAGAATATGAAAAACTGGAACACATTTTTGACTTTCAGCATGAAGATAGCAATTCATGTTACCTGCCCCACCACGCCGTTTCCAAGATTAGCAGCACGACGACAAAGATTCGTGTCGTGTTCGATGGATCAGCAAAGACCTCATCGGGCCTATCACTGAATGATATTCAAATGATAAGATCGATTGTGCAGAACGATAGTTTCAGATAACGGCATAAATTTTATAGGTGCGCGAAACGAGCTTTACGAATTAGGCGTACTTTTGAAAAGTAAAGAGTATTGCACAAATATGTCAAATGGATTAGGAAGATATAATATAAAATGGCACCTAAACCCCTCGCACGCGTCACATTTTGATGGATTATGGGAGAGTGCGGTAAAGGCTACCAAATATTATTTGCGACGTATCATTGGTGAATAGAAAATGATGTTCAAAGAGCTATACACTCTGTTAGTGCAAAAAGAGTCTTATTTAAATTCCTGGCCTATCACTCCCCTGTCATCCGATCCAGACGACCTGAATCCTTTGACTCCAAGTCATTTCCTGATCGGCGATGCGCTGACCGCGATACCAGAGAATGATTTATGAGAAATCAAGGTCAACTGCTTCGGTCGATATCAATTCAGCAGATGTTCCAGCACTTTTGGCAGCACTGGAGCAAGGAATATTTACAACAATTGCAGCAGAGGAACAAATAGTACGAGTCAATAGGCGCTATCAAGAAAAACGACTTGGTGATAATACGAGAAAAAAACCTCCTTCCTCTACAATGGCGCATAGGTAGAGTGATGCAGCTTTACTTTGGGACGGATAGTATTCCGCGTGTGGCCAAGAACGACCAACGGCATCATCAAGCGGCTAACAGCGAAGCTATGCATCCTGCCAATATAGGACGACAGCGGATCCAAGTAAGCGACCAAGGATAAATAGACTAAGAGATTTCATCTCATTTGGATGATAGGGAGGCATTATAGAGATATTAGACACTGCAGAGTGAAAGCATTGTTATGTATTATAGTATTGAATTCGGCGAGCAGCATATTAAGGCCCGGACTTGTGAAATGATCGGGTTCTGTTCTACTGTCAACAGTTCGAATACCTGCCAAACAATTTAACAATAATTTATGAGCGGGCATGGTTTTCATAATGGTTTCCAGATATTAGTTTGAACAAAAACCATAGCAGCGACCATTTCACGAGCTATTTGCGCGTCATATGATGGAGCATCGTATAGGTGAAAGCAAAGGTCCTGACTTTCACGTACTGCGACGCGATCCCGCGAAGGCCCATCCTTCGAAACCGCCCTTCGACGTTATGATTGGTTCCTCTAATCCCTCTCTGTGTGCATTTTCATAAAATGCAAGGATTAGAGGAAAAATCAAGACTCGCGGTTTGTGTAGTCGAATTAGATCCGTCATAGAAGATAGTAATCGTACTAGAGCTAGCAGAAAAGACAATATTCGAATTAGAGAAGACAGATAGATGTTTAGATCGACGACGATACAGTTTATTGAAGAACAGTTAGAATCACGCAGTTAGCCGCAAAGAATTAAAGTATTACCATTTCGTTCACTCAGAGCTCATAACATAAACGATTGTATAGTTCCTAGGTATAGTAGTAGGTGATCTTTCGAACAGTAATAATAGTTTAAGCACTCCATTTGTGCAATATTCAAAATCATACCCGCTTGCGGTTTTAACATGTGATTTATAATAATATGATTTGCAAATGTATTTGTAATTATAATATTAAATGATTTGCACATTTTTGAATTATAGCGCAATTTATAATTTTTCGTATTATCATTGCTTATATTGAAAATGTGATTTTCTTCTGTTTCAAAATTTTCATTCCAATAAATCATAATGGCATAAAATGGCATTATATAGAGAGATCCTAAACTTCATTGTCGCAATACTATATATTAAAATAGCTTTTTAAAATAGAATTTTTATTATTGAATTATTAAATTAAATTTTAAATTTAACTCAGTACTAAGAAATTTTAGCTATTTTGACACTATATTTTTACATTTAATCGATGTCTCATTCCATGCCAAGATTATCATAATTTAACAAACAAATTCAGAATAAGAATCGTCTTTTTTAAACCCATGAAAAGGGAGACATGAAAAATTTTTCTTTTGGGAGAGGGAAAAAGGCAAAGTAAATAAGCAAAAAAATGAAAGCCAGAACAATCAATTGCAAAGATCAATTCGCTAAACAAGTCAAGTACAATCTTTTAAATTTTCAGCGCAACTTTATTTCTGATCTAAATTCTACAAATGATACGTGATCAATAATGATTTAATTTTATTATAACATTATATTTGCTTCACGAAATTAATAGCATCTATTCTTCAAATAATAAACTCAATCAAAATCCGTAACTTTTACAAAGAGATAAAATAAAATCAGACTCATCGAGTTAAAAAAAATTCATCAAATTCTATTTTTTTCATATCATTGAAATTCTTCAGAGATGTCATCAAATGCAATACTTCTGAGGCACGACAATAGATTTCACGTTTTAATACTATAAAAACGAATATCAAATTGACTGTTTTTCCAGCAATCTCATTATTGTTTTCTTATCACTTTTTCTTACAAATGATATTACCAATAATAAACCATTAATTTTCAAAAATTTTGTTGAAAGAGTTCATTTTGAAATTGATGACGAACTTATTTGTACCAATACGACTCCATAAGTGATTATGGTACCAAAAAACTGAAAAAGAAATTAAATTCTTAAATAATTAGTCAAATTATATACTGATTTAACTCACCATTGTTAAAAACTTGTTGTTAAGAATGTAACTACCAGCAGTAAATTTTAAAGGATGAAGATGAAGTTGTAATAAAAATTGTTGCACCTAAAATTATTATTATTATTAACTTTAATTCTTTAAAAGTTTATAGTAACTTTAAATTTCAAATGGAGAGCATTTGATATATTTTTTGAAAAAGAAAAGTCTGAAAAAATTCATATAGCATCCTCTAAAAAAATAAAAAAACAACTTTCAAATAAAATTAAACAATAACATAAACTAAATAAAATCAAATAGAAAAAATAATTTGAATATACGATTACAAAATGTTTGAATATCAATAAAATTTTTTCATAGAATAACTGTTAAAAAAGGAATTTTAAATATACATAAATATATAGAATATAGAATATGTTCGCACTCGCAAAAGTAGTTATTAAAGACAGATCCAAGACTTGTGAAGTATCGGCTTGGCTTTTGATTTTAACAGCTCGAGTATTTTCAATAACCTAACAATAATTTATGAGCGAATATAGTTTCCTAACGCTTTCCAAATCCTCAATTTAAATAGAGATATAACAGCAACAGTCATTTTACTTGTATGCTTTGCAACGCACTACCGTGAAAGCAAAGGTCCTATTCTCATGTGTTGCGACGCGATTCCATGACTCTCTCCTAATCTTCGAACCCGCCTTCCAGTGCAACGATTAGTCCCTCTAACCTGCTCTCAGTGTGCATTTTCACGAAAAATAAGAATTGAAGGAAAAATCAAGGCTCACAATAGTTTTTTAGTTCAATTGGAATAGAAATAAAATAAAATAGAATAATAACATTCAAGAACGATATATAGTTTGCATCAAAATACAGTTAAAATCATTCAATCAAAATATAGTTAGTCTCAAAGAATTAAAGTACCATCATTCGTTCACTTAAACCTCATAATATAAATTACACAGTCCTACAACAGTGTAATCCTTCGAGCAGTAGTATCAATTTAAGCACCACATTTGTGCAATATGTAATATCGTTTAGTTTTTGACTTTAACAGTACTATTATAATGATGATGTAATATAAGCTAGGTGCGATAATAGTTCAATTGGAAAGATCTTCCGGTGAGGCACGCCAATAACCAATAAAGGTCTGATTCGCGATATTTCCAAGAAGAAAATTTTTCGAACTAGAATGATATTTGTTGCCGTTGAATCAGTCGTTTTTGGAATATATCATTCTCGGGCTTCGCTCCAGGTTGAAGTGTGTCAAAAATATATAATTATAAATATTAACTAAACTCTCAAAAACGACAGTCTTTTCAGATAACATCATCCTTTGTTTGATCTTAATAAAGATCTGCGAGCAATAATAATAGAAAAGTTTCCCTAATTTCTATAAGGAATTTTACCGAAAGCTGTTTATAAATTTCGTGAACAATAAGTGCTCGCGAACAATATTTATTATAAAAATGTCAAATCTTCAGACAATGAATTTTAAATATTAAAATAATGAAAAAATTCATATATATAAATTGTATATATATGCCTAATAAAATATTGTTTATTAATAAATTATAAATATTTTAAGTATGTTAAATAGAATGAAACGATATAGCAGTAGAATTAAAAATATTTTTGTATATGGTATCTTTAGGTTTTTGTAGCAGTTTCCCAATAAACAATAATCTTATTTTCTTTTAAATATTTTTAATTAATAAATTATATAATTAATGAATATGTAATATTATACAATATCATATATAATATACAATTATTATATATAACTATTATTCAAGAAAAATATATTTCGAAGAAGTTACAGCAAATTTTAGAATATTCGGTATTATATAGTAATTTATTAAAATTTATAGATAAGTCGTTGTGTAAATTAATATTAAATTCATAGGTTATATGACATTATCTCAATTGTCTATGAGAACAATCAATTTGTATATTAAAAAAAATTTTAAAAATTGCATTTTTTAATAATTTTTTTAAAACTGCTTATAAAAAACAATGTATCTTTTAATTATTTTTTGCAATATTTCTTGCAATTCAACAGAATTTTTTTTAAATTATTCTTATATATACAAAAAGTCACTAATAATAGTTGAATCAATTCAAATTTCAATTATTCAATGTATCAGTGAGTTACTTAAAAGTAACTTAAAAATAAAACTTTTTATTTTAAATAATAAAAATATTTTAAATAAGAATTATTATGATGAAAAAAATTTGAATTTATTTTTGTTATATTTAACAAATATGGATAAATAAATATTTTATATAATTGCATAATGAGAATACTAAATATATGAGGAAATAATAATAAAATATAAATTTATTCATAATAATTCAAAGTAAGTGTAGAAATGAACACATTTTTTTAATAAAAATGAAATGCATTCATTATAAACAAGAAAAAAATTTATAAATTTTGTAAATATATTGAGTATTAAAATAAAATTTCGAATCGAAAAACATTAACGAGTAAATATTTATTATAATATTTAATTAATTTAATTAATTTAATTAATTAATTTAAGGAATAAAAAAATTATAAATTTTGAATATGTCCATTTCATTTATTATAAATTTATAAAAAAATATCCATAACAAATATATTTAACAAATATTTAACAAATATATTAAGTATCTTTTTTTTATTTTTAATATATTTTTTTTATTAATATTCGATTATTATTGATTTGGAACAATGAATTGATATATGTGTGATAATTCGATTGAAAGCTTAAGTCTTATGAATTATGATGATTGCAAATTTAAATTTGTTGTAAATTAAATTGTTTAAGATATTTACAAAAAATTATTCTACTATATTGAATTGCGGCTATGCGTTCATAATATATGCACTCATGAGAGCATATATATTAATATATGATCACTCCTTATCTATTATTTCTATAAATATGAGGAACTATGTTCATCTTGAATATTGTCGTTATTTATAATAATATAAAAAAATGTTGTATACAAAACTTGCACTGTATAAAGGAAAGCATATTGTGATACAAACATTTTTTGCGTAAATGAAGGCATAGAGGAGATTCTAAGGTCATCTCTATTTTTTAAATGGAATGCTATGTCTTTTTATCACGATATAATAGTTAATGTTGAAAAACCTTCAGTAAACATCAATCATTGAAGATTATGCAAGATCAAATAGTAGTAAAATAAATTTTCTTACATTACGTAAGATGTTCGAATTCGTGACTGTGTTTAATGTTGATAAACAATATTTTTCAATGCTTTTTAAAGAAAAAATCTAATGGAATCAAATCCTAGAGAGCCAAAATGTAAATACAAGCTGTTTATAACGTTAACATGGATTGATAGTCAATTTCAGTCGATTGCTAAATCAAGTAGCTATATGATCATCAAAATGAAATTTTTTTTTGAAGTACAAATTGATATGATCTTTATTTATGGTAAAATGCGATAAAATTCGAAAAAACCCGAAGCTTGTATATTGAACAGTATACATCGTGCGCATCGAACATTACAAAGATTATGTGTTTCAATCCATTCTTGAAGCTATGGTATATAGTAATAAAAATAATTATTTAGTATAATATAAAAATAATTACAAAGTTTGCTGTTAACAAGTTCGATAAGAAGAGGATCAATAGCATATGCTAATTACGTTATCACTAAGGTTTGAAATTCGATTAACAAGAGGATCAAAAGCAACCTCCATATGCTAATTACATTATCACTGAGATTCGAAATTACAAATTTAGAAAAAGTTTTAAATTTAAAAAGTTCTTGAAGGTTAAAGGTTCTGACTGTTCAAAAATTTTCTCAAAATGCTCTAATGCTTTAGAAGGTAATGCCGCACTCTTTCTATGTTCATCTCGCGAGATCGCGAGTCTTCAATGGTGTACACAAGCGACCAATAATACTGTCTGATTGAGCGACACCCTCAATTCAAGGAAAATTGTTAGAATGAGATTGAGAGGTTATGCCACTCTCAAATCCGTTGTTTTCCCAGAAAAATGTTTCATAAATGTTTACAATAATTCTTCTCAACTAGATTGCCATTAAGACTGGAAAATGTTATTTTAAGCTTCAGGATCACATTGACACTCCAGCCACGCCGAAATGTTTCTAAATATACAAAGAAATCATCCAAATTTTTCTCTCGAAAACGGCATTATCTTGTGCCATCTGTTCAATGTCTGAACATTATGCACAAAATTGAAAAAAAAAAGAGAAACTTGGATCTTTGTAAAAGCAGTCGTAATTGATGAAATAAATGAAGTGTTCTTGCAATTGTAGTTCATAACTCGTAGATTAATTCTCGACAGATTGAACGTAGGATATTAATAAAAAAAGCGTGCTACGAATCTTTGCACAGCATAAATTTCATCCACACATTTTATGAATCACATCGCATTTTGTCAGTGGGCTTTATATGAAAAATAAATAAATGAAACAATTTTTTCTTTAATATTGTTCACCGATGAAGCTCGTTTTACTAACCATGGAAATTGCATGGAATTGCAAAAATTTTAATTTGCATAATTACATACTTATGATAAGTTGAGCATCAATGACAGTAGTCAGTTAACATATAATGTGAAATTGTTGATGATCAAATAATCGGACTACATTTTATTGATGGAAATCTTATTAGTGAAAAATATGAACATTTTATACAGAATATATTAGGGATTTATTTTATTATTTATTTTATTAAAAAATGTACCATTAAATATTCTTCAAATAGTGGTTACATCACGATGAATGTTCAACATACATATAATGGAAAGTAAAAAATGCATTTAACGAACTTTATCCTAATCGATTAATAGAATGCGGGAGATTAGTATGACTCTCCAAAGTTGATTTCAATAGATTTTTTTCTTTGGAGAGCATTGAAAAATGTTGTTTATCAACAAAAGAGTCACAAATTCGAACATCTTATGTAATGTAAGAAAATTTATTTTACTATTATTTGATTTTGCATGATCTTCAATGATTGATGCTTACTGAAATTTTCTCAGCATCAACTATTATATCAGGATAAAAAAATAGAATAAATAGCATTCCATTTAAAAAAATAGAGATGATTTTGGATTCTCCTCTATATCTTCACCCATGCAAAAAATGTTTGTATGATAATGTGCTTTCCTTTATACAGTGCAAGTTTTGTATATAACATTTTTTTTATTACTACAAATAACGGTAATATTAAAGATGGACGTAATTATGTTCCGTCTTGTATATTGTGATAGCATCTAAAATATATGTATAACAAATGAAGTAATATCATTATTATTATTTGTTAATATTTTTACTTGTTATATATCTATAACATCTATAAAAATTTAATATCTTTTTCCAAAACAATAATATATTTATGATTTATGATTTCTTTGATTTTTTTGTTTTTCTTGATGAGTACTCTACAATGCAATAAAAGAATAATTTGATCTAAAAATTATGTTCAAATTCAATATATTTTTTAAAATGAATTTCTATTCTGATTTGAAGATGAAGAATTATTATCTCAAAATCAATACTGAATTATTATTTTTTATAACTTCTATAATTAGAATTCAATAACATAATAGTCAAAAGTTTTTTAAAAACAACTCAAAAATTAAAACCATTTACAGATAATGTAAAGAAAATTTAAGATGATGATTTTTGAAATATATTTCAAGATCAGAAAAATCAGTAAGAAAAAAGTACATAAATCATAAAAAGATAATCTTTGATAAAAGTAAAAATCAAAATAAATTTTGATTTAATTATTACATTAATAATGGATCTTACCTCATTTCTAATAGAATTATCCAAATAGCAAATATCTATTTCTCGAAGCAAATGTGCTGTTATTTCTACCTATAAAATTCTAACATTGTGTATTTGTATTAAAATTTTTATTTATACTGTAAAAAGATATAATCTTACCTTGCGATAAAATTTAGTACAAAAATTATTTACAATAATAACTTTTATAGAAAATAAAGATATCCATATTAAATATTTCATAACTTGTATATTTGATAATATTTCTAATAAATTTAATGACATTAAATAAATATATGTATTATAAAATGTACACAGCAATAATGAAAATTGCATTATCAAATCTAATTGAATTTGATAAGTATATATTTTATTAAGTTCACGTGAAAGCTTCAGGATCTCAAAATGAATATACCTTTAATTGATAAAAAGGAAAAAGAATAGATAAATAAAAATAATATTAAAAATAATATTATCAATATAATTAAATAACTTATCGTTAATAAGAAAAAATGAGATAATTCCAGATATTTAAATATAATGTAACACAAAAAAAAATAAATAATCTATAAATTTTTGTAAAATTTCTCTTTCTGAAGACAAACAGAAAGAGATTATTCTTCATGATTAATTGTAAGTGAATTATATTTAAATAATTTTTTTTAAAAAAGATTAATAAAATTAAAAAAGTATTTTTACATATCAGAAAATGATAAATAGCCTCAGACATAATTTTCAAAAATTTTCCATATATCCAAAAATATGACATACTTATATTAATTTGACGTATCAATATTTTAACATTTATGTACTTAATCATTCATATTTATTTTATAACATTTTTCGATTTCATAAAATTTTTCTATAAAAAATGTGTTATAATATCTTACGATGTTTGTTTTGGTTAAAAAGATTTTTAATGTTTTATTTTTCCACATTTTCATAAAATCTTTTTTATGAAAAATACATTTTCAACTGGGAAAAGTGTTTTTTCTGTTCTTTATACTTAAACAATGTTTTTTAGATACTATTAAATAAAAATGCTAACAGTTTAATTGCATTCCGTGTTGAAACTATTATATTTAAAATATTACTATATTTAAAAGAAGATTCTATGGAATTATTGTAGAAAACTGTTCAAAAATAAAAAACTTATCGATAGATTTTAACTCTTGAATTATTTTCATTTTATTATTTTCATTATAGGAACAGTTAAAAATCTTAATATTGCTAAATATTTCACGATTCAGAAAGCAAATCCACTTTTTTCTATATCAAGTCTAACTTAATCAATCTTTGAAAATATTTAATTTTATGTTTTGTAATATTTGAGATATATTCTAAATATATCCGATTAACTTTATCAATTTTTTTTAAACATTAATTTATATAATATGATAAGATTAACAAATTTAAGAAAGTTAATCTTAAAATATATTAATAATCTTAAAATATATTATTGTTAATAGTAAAATCAATAAAATATATATTAAATATATTTAACTATATTTAAATATATTAATTATATTAATTATAATTATTTATGTCATTTATAATAAACATTGATGAAATTTGATATCAGTAATATTATTTTCAGTAATAAGGAAATTGATTATATAAAAAAAAGCTTGATATTCACTTGCTATTGATTTACAATTGTTTATAAAATATTTAAGATATCTGAAACTATATACTATCTGAGACTATTTACTTCTTCTTTACTAATAATTTTACAAAATATACTTAATGTACTTAACTACACTAAAATAATTCAATAACAATATATTAATAATATTGTAACATTAGAAAATTTTACAGATTGTTTTGAAAATATTAAATATTAAATACCTTGTAACTTGAACAAAATGTTGAACAAAATGTTTTCTATTATAATAATCCATTACAATTATGAATTTATGTATAATAAATGACTGTATTTTATATTTTATATTATCATTTATATTTGATAATTGACATATCTCTTTCATAACTTTATTCATCTTAAGCAACTTGTCCTGTAAAATACTTAAAAAAATTCAAATAATATGATCTTAAAAAAAAATATTATGACAATACTATAACTAACATTATAGACTCTATATTTTTATATATAATTTTTATAAGAATGAAATAATGATTTAAATATATTAAATATAATAAATAATTCTTATGTATTTCTATAATGTGATGTACAAGAAAAATGAGGAAATGAAATGAAAAAATAAAATTTTTTTCTTGTAATAATCTGAAGAAAAAAGAACATTCTCTTGAAAAAAATAACATTTCTCACTCTACAACATTATGCAAAAATGTGAATTCAATATATAATTTTAATTTTATTTTTGATTATCTCTGATCAAGCGATCGTAAACATTTGTAATTAAATAATTTATTTAATATATGAATCCAATCCAAATTATCGATTTGTTTCCAATTCGATTTGAGAAATTTTATTCCATTAATAAATTTAATGGAATAAAATTTCATTATAGTTATGGTTTTGATTCAAAGATTTTCCTGTTCGATCCTAAATTTTTTTTCTATAATTGCTGTCACTACAATGGTGACTATAATTATAAAACCACCGTATCCTTTGGCTTTCATTAATTCGATAAGTATTTATTAAAGAAAAAAAAGTAATCATCATATTAAAATTTTACTTAATTCTTTAATTATATGTATATAAAATATTAATATGGATGGAAAACTTAAAAGAAAATTTGATAATTTATTATTAGCATTAGCAGTATACATATACTTTTTTGTAATTCCAGCACTTTTTTTAATCATAATATTTACTTCACTATCTATTTAACACTTAAGAAATCGCAAATTCATTAAGAGATACGTTTACATTATTGGTTTCGGATAAGTCAGAACTTGTTTATGTAAAATATTTTTATCATTATTTGAATGCAATCAGATAGAAGATAGATAGATAGAATGCAGTTGATGCAATATCAATTTTTATGCTTACCATAAAAGTTAAAAAAATTTTTTTTAAATTGAATTTTAAATTTTAATTCATTGTCATGACAAAATTCTGTGAAATTCAAAAATTTAAAAATGATTTTGAAACCATTAAGAATCTAATGTTATATATTGGCAAAAAAATTTATGGTTAGAAGAAGTATATAGATAAAGATTAATCATAATTTAAAAGTTAGAAAAGTATATAGACAGAATTCACTTGGTTGCGAAAGAAAATTTAAATATCTTAATTATTAGTGTTTATAGTCGCTTGATCAAAAGTTAAGAATAAAAGAAAATTGATAAAATACTAAACATAAAAATATTTAATATATATTAATATATATTGTAGTCTAAAATGCAACATTTTTTTTTTTATAAGAAGAAATTTTTCTTCCTATATTTTTTTCATATTTTTTATGCATTAAATTATAAAAATATAAATTTTTCAATTTTTCCATTTGTTTCATTTTTGTAAAAAATATAAAATATAGATGAATTTATAATTTTTTCACAGTACTGTACATAAAAAATAGGTATAAAATAGGTAGAATTATAATGTGGTTTTGAATCAATAATACAAAATGCATGCAAAAATCTTAATTTTAAAATTTAATGTTAAATTCTTTTTTTATTTAATCGTATTCTGTTTATTGTAAACATAAAAAATTTCAAAAGAACTGTTCAAATGAAATTCTTCTATTAAAAAAAAAGAAAATATTAAATTTTCATTTCGAAATAATTTTATCTATAATTTGTTTATATTTTTTAATCAATTGTAAAAAAAATATTTATTGTGTCATATAGATAGCTTAGATCTACCATTATTATATCCCATAATATAAAACGTTAAATGTCACGACACGCCAATCAAAACTTAAAAGTTTCCATGATAACATTAATACTCTTTTTTATTTGGAACGAAAATATGTCGAGAAAATGAAAAATAGATATATTCGAAAAAAAACACTGATTATGATCAATATATGCATCTCCAAAAATTTATTTTATCATTTCATTCTGACTTTATTATTTTGATTCTGTGCTTGTTTATTTTTTTGTATTTTTGACAAAATTGTTTACAATGCCTTTCTTTCTTCTTTTTTTTTTTTCTTGCTATAAATATCACCGAATTCTAAAAGTATTTATATATGATTGAAATAAATGTATAAATCAAAATAAGTTAATAACTCACACGTACTTGAAACATCATTTTGTGTGTCGACATTAACACATATTATAATATGTTTCAATGTGTAGAAAGAAATGTCGATTCGATATTGTTGAAACATTAAAAAGAAAGAAGAAAAAAAGTGTTCGAAGGCACTAATGCTCGCAAGATTTATAACCAGTTTAGTCCTGAGAAGTTTCACGTAATAATAAAACCTTTTTCCATTATTATTGGTCGCTAACTTCTATTAAGCATAAACAAAGCATGATGTTAACTAAAAAGATTGCCGTTTTTAAGACGAGTTTAGTTGATTTTTATAATTGTATATTTTTAATATGCTTTAACCTATTTAGAGCGAAACCCAACTCCAATTATATATATATGTTCCAGATATGTTCCAGACACAGCTGAATCAATGGCAACTAATATCATTCAAGAATATCTATAATATATGCTGATAAATCCCTTATTTTTTATTAGGAATTAACATCTTGATATCTTTATGCACTGTCATCAGTTTAATTCGAAAAATTTTCGCTAACTTGGAGGTGCAAATCAAATACTGATTGCGATATTATTGATTATTATGCCTCATTGGGAAAATGATCCCTTCAATTGAATTTAGAAGAGCTTTCTAAGTGCACGAGCTTTCATTTGAGAAGAGTCTAATTAGTGCTCTTTGTGAATACATTGTACTCTGACTGTTAAATAGATCAATTTTCTTGTAACAATATTGTGCTCTAACTGACATCGGACACGATCATTTATTGTGATATTGAGAGATCGAGCTCTCGTATAGACACGTATTTATACAATCCATTTATTAGTTAAGAAAATGATTACAAGCATCAATTTGTACACTCAAATATACCTCAGCAAAAAAACATTCGCACGACACATATACATGCATCTATAATATCTTCTATTCATTTACAATATTATTGTAGGTGCGAATAAAAACAGAAAAAGAAAGATATAATATATATAATAGCAGATTTGGAGCATTTAAATATGTACTACAATGAATGTTATTTTTCTTGCAATTAACTGAAAAATTTATGCAAATTATGAATAAAATGAATTTGAAAAATAATGGGAATTTTATCATTTTTTTAAGGAAACAGTTGAACTGTGACTCGTAATTCCTTTGAGATTTTTTATCTTTACGATAAATAGAATATGATTGCAATAAAAAAATTAATTTTCAATTTCGAAGTCATTTTCATTTTATTACAAATCTTCAAAAGTATAATATTATATTGCAATACTTTTTACATTTATTTTCTATATATCTTATATATAAGTAAATTTGAGAAAAAAAAATAAAATAGTAAAAATTAATTTATACTTTTAATATTAGTAGAGAATACTAGTGAAATTGTTATGAAAATCAATATTTTCTAAATTTCGAATATTAATTTATCAAATTATATAATACGGTTAATTGTTAACTGATAATATTATAATTTATATTATAATAATTTATGGAAATTTATATTATAATAATTATAATTTAAATAAAATTCAGAAATACATTATTATAGATTTTTAATTTTGAAGAAATCAAAAAATTTTGGTAAATTCAGAAATATATCTGTTATTTTATTTAATTCGTTTTTATATTCGGTTTATGAGCATTTTTGTACAACTTACCTTACAAATATGATGAAAGTAAAAATTCCTAAAGATGTAATTGTTATTGATATATAAAATATAACAAAAAGTAAATCAAATTTTTGTTCAACAATGTACCAATTTAGCAAGATAATACTTATCATTATTGTGATGAATATAATTAATTTTTGTATAATTTGGAAAAAAGTTTTTTTATAATTTTTCTCAATTCCAAGTGATTTTAAGGTATTGTCTATTTGTTCACATCTTGCTATAATTCTTTTCGAACACTACAATGGAAAAAGAAAAAAAGTATAAGAAATATAATAATTTGAAAAATGTAAAAAATTATTATGTAAAGTATTAATATATTCGTAGATTTGTTTTCAATATTAAAAGTCAAAACAAATATAAAAGTTGATATACGAAAATGTTGATTTAATTTTATTTCTCAAATTAGATGCAATTTAATTTAGCAGAAAGAAATGAAGCAAAACAGAAAAAGAATGAGATTTTGTTATGACAGATAAAAAATAAGTTTCTAATTTGTTTTTTTTCTTACTTCATCTAAAGTTAATTTGAAATATTTAAAAAATTTAATAAATAAATTTTCGACTTTCTTGTACATCAATTTTTGGGTTTGTTTTAGAGCTAATTATATGGAAAAGAATGGAATTAGAAAGCCAAGCGATTATTCATAGGAAAAAGTTGTTTAAAATTTTGATTTTTACAATATATTTCAACATTTTCAAAACACAATAATATATATTATTTATTATCAGTATTTTATTATATATTATTCTATGTTTCATAATATTTAAATTTGTTTCAAAATACTTTCTTATATTATTATATTATAATATATGAGATGATCCTGTTATTAGAAAGTTCAATTAAATCGATACAGTATCAATATATTTGCTAAAAAGGATATTAAATTGCACCATATTAAAATTTTAAGAAACATTATTTTTTAGCAAGTCTCATCATATTACTTTTCGTTTTATGCTTAATAAGACAAACGATAAATTTTTCTGCAGAAAAACTTTCCCTGAATCATAAATCATCAAATAAATCGAAAATCTCGTGATTCATTTTCTATTTGATATTCAGAAATAATTTTTTTTCTATAATTATCTTCATTAATTGTAATTTTTCAATTAGATTTGGTAATTGTCAAAAGTATGGAATGTTATTATTATATATGTGTATAATTATATTATATAAATTACAAATATAAAATTCATAAATTTGAATATTTATGATTAATACAACTTATAGAATTTGAAAACTTTTATAAAAATATTTTAAATACTCTTTTGTCTAAAAAATTCATTTATCGATTATTACAAGTTATCGAAAATTTAAATATTAATAACAAAAAAAATTATAATAAGATAATATAGATGATCATTATATTTGTTATCAATTAACTTTGTAAGTTAATTGTAATTCCGGTTTTAATTATTTTCAGCTTAAAAATTGTCTTATATTTTTCGAAAATTAAAACAGAGCAATGATTATAAGATAAAAAAAACATTGTTCAAAATATTATTTTCTATGACAAAAATAATCAAAATCGGCAGGAAAACTTCTTTTTTGAATAATTAGAAAAGAATCATATAGATTTTTAAAAATCATTATAATGGGAGATTTTTCTAAATAAAATCACTTAAAAACAAATTCCGAAAAAAAAATTTATAAACTTCACAGAGCTTGAAATTTCGTTTAAAAGAAATTATTAGAAAAATTAAGATCAAAAATATGAAAGTAAAAGCTTCATTCTCTAAAATAAGCTTAGACTAATATAATTTTTTTATTATAATTTAATTATAATAATTTAAATTATATCAGTAACATTCAGAAAAAATTTAGTATTTTTCTAATTTTAGACGCTATCAATTCGTAATTTTTCATGAAATGTAAAATGTTCGATAATAGCATATTTTAACAATAAAAAATTAATAGATATTAATAGAGATATTAAAAATTAAGATATTATAAAATGTAATATTTTTAAACTTTCTCATTGTTATATGTTATATTACTGAAATTAAAGTAATGTTAATTGTTAATGTAATAATTTATAATTATGATTAAATTAACTACAATTAATATTTATTATATCTTCAGGCCAATCTGGACAAGTGATTTTTGCAAATTTATTTTAAACAAAAGAGGAGAAATGTATGTAAATATATTTGACATTTATTCTAAGATTTCATTTATAAGATGTAGTAGGAATTTTAGTAGGAATAGCAATAAACATGATAGTTGACAAAATTATATATATATAAATTATAATATATATATAGTATATAGTATAAGAATAGTATATTATAGTATAGTATAAGTATAGTATATTATAGTATAGTATAAGTATAGTATATTATAGTATAGTATAAGTATATATATATATACTTACATATATTAAAATGGATACTTATATGTATACTATATACTTATATATACTAAAATGGATACTGTTCATACTAACTAAAACTTTCTTTCCAGTATTTTTATTTTATTTAATTATCGCATTATCTTATTATTTTTTATTATATTTTTTATAAAATTATTATAGAAATACTTACTTCTGTATTTAATATTCCAAGAATTATAAAAATCATGATGCATATAAAATTGATATAGAAAACCATTTTAAAACTGACTTCTTGATATATAGACCAATTTTTGTAATTTACATTAATTACTATATTCAGACATATAGCATATAAAATATTGCATATGCACGCGTATATTATACTCCAGCCATATTGTAATTGTCCTTTTAATTCAAATGTACGTAGACCAAATATCTCATTAAGAATAATGATAGGTATCAGCGAAGCATATTGAGTTTTTGGTGTCCATACTAAGATTTTTGTTCTAAATGCATTCATTATTGTCACTAGAAATATAATACGTAATAGAATTCTGATAAACAAATCGTTGACAAATAATAATTCTTAAAAATTTTTTAAATGAAATTATATAATTATATAATTATATAAATAATATAAATTTAATTATATAAATTATAGTTTTATAAAAATAATTATATAATATATAAATTTACATTATTTTTTAATATAATTTAATATTTTTATAGTAATTTTAAAATTTTATAATATAATTAAATAAAATAATAATATAAATTTTTTGGAACAGATTTTTATAAACATCTCAAATGTAAATACAACTTTAAAAGCATTTAATTAAAAGCAATAATATTATGTTTTAAAATTTGTACAAATTTTTTCTTGTATTGTACTAAAATTGTACTAATTGTAACATAATAAAAAAAAAATTCTAGATATACATATTGATATTCACTTACCTTTCATATTTTTTAAAATTTTGTTTAAATAATTATACTTATTTATTTATAAAAATAATAAAAATATATTCATTTATTTTAATAGAAAATTCCTTCTTTTATTAATTATCAATTCCTTTTTTGTATGTTCTTCTAAATTATCACATTATTGCAAATTATAATATGAATTTATATATTTATATATCAATATAACTTCTTTCGCATCTCATATTTATGAAAGCGATTAAAGATAATACAATTAAAGATAATTGTTATATTTTCTGAAATTATATTTACAATTATAAGATTTTAATATGCTTTCTCTTTCAAAACTAATTGAAGATCGCACATATCACTTTAGTTATAGAATATAAAAATATAAATTAAAATGAAGAATACAATTTTTTTTTTAAAGAAATTATTAACTTCGATCTTAATTTTCTTTCAGATTAATTTTTAACAAGCAATCATTTATATGCATTTTAATATTAAATTAATAAGAATTAGAGTGCTTCTTTCTAGAAGTTTTTCATTAGAAATGTTATGAATTAAGATAAAATCTTTAAGTCTTTTCTTTTTCAGTTTACGACAGGTGTTTTTCATATATTTTGATACTTCAATGTTTGAATAGTGTTTTAGAAAAAAATAATTGTAACTTATAAAATATATGTTGATTTTCTAATTTCTAGTTCTCTTTATTTTATTAAATATATTCATTTATATTGAAAAAATTATATTATGACAATTATTCATAATATTTTATTTTATAATATTATATATTTTTTTATAAATTTTAATAGTTTTTTTCTAGATAAAAACCTTTGTTGTTTTTTATAAAAATTTTTTTCCTCATGAAGATTTTTTTGTAAAAACTTCATTTTATAAGAAAAATTATGATTATTGGGAATATATTTTTTCTTATTTTGAATTTAGTTATGTCTATTTTTTTTCCCCTGTATTTAAGTTTAGAGACGATAATTATTTCAAAATATTTCATAGAGCTATTAAATATATTATATTATATTATATTATATATTATATTATATATAATATTATATTATATTATATATATTATATTATATTATATATCATATTATATATAATATTATATTATATTATATATTATATTATACATTATATTATATTATATATTATATTATATATATTATATTATTGTTATTATTATTTTGTGATTAGTAGATTTTTTCTTTCTTAGTTTATATATTTTGATTTCATTGTGTGTTTTTCAATAAAAATTATTTAAACATTTTTTTTTGATTTGCATTTGAGTCGATTGCTAGATTAATAAATAATAGAATATTATATAATCAGGATTTATTGTAGTCTTTTGAGAATTATTAACAATTGCGATTTAGAATTTCATTGAATTTGTCATAATTTTTGAATTATTATTCATCATATATTTGCTAATAGAATAATTCCATTAGTAGATAATAATAACATATATTTTGATTGTGCTTATAAGTTTATTGAAATCATAGGTGTAATTCAGATATACATGTACAATATAAGGATAGTTAATTGTTTTGTTTAGAACTAATATTTTTTATCGCTTCATTTGCTTTAAAAAGAAAAATAGAATCTATTTTAAAACTTAAAGACATTAAAATAGACATTAAAAAATAGTAAATATTCATGCAAATGTTTCATTGTGAAAATATTCAAAAAGATCTTACATAAAATGTTTAGATGTTAGCTGCCAGACACAATGCAAAATTCAAGTTATGTAAAGAATATTTATAAGAATTATTGTGATAAGTAAGAAAAAAAATTATGTAAAAGATAGAAAAAATGAAATTGTAGTAAGAAAGAAAAAAAAAATGAATTTGAAATATCTGCAACCAACAATAAAACGTGATTATCGTTGATTAATTAGTGATAAAGTCATATATTCAGATTTGATATGAATTCTTAAAAACAATATATTGGAATATTGAGATATAAATTAGTAAATAATTAGTAAAAAATAATATAAAAAAATATAAATATATAATTAATATAATATAAAAAATAAATCAACTATGCTAAATTAACAGTAATGAATAATAATAAATATTTATATAATATCTAAAATAATTTCATATAAAAAGAATTAGGAATATGGAGATTAAAATTTAGTTTAAATTCTAGCAAGATAACATTCAAGTATATACAAAGCATAAATTATATAAAAATATTTGTTTAATTATATACAAATATTATAACTTTCTCTAATCCTTGTATTTAAATTAAATTTTTCAATTTTTATAAGGAATTTGATTTTAAAAATCACAAAATATTAATAATAAAAATCAATTAATGAGCAATAAAAAATCAATTATTTTTGAAAAATAAAGTGATATGTTAAAAGTACATCACATCAAGTAGTGATCAAGATAGCATGATGGATGTAGAATATCTTACTCGGTTTATCTAATGCATATTAATTATAATTTAATGAATGAACTTTTTTATAAACTAACTTTTAATATTAACACAAATCATTTTATATCATATTATATACGCAAATGAAATGCAAATTTTTGGTATTCACTTTATATTAAATATACAAAATATTATTTTCGTGTTTCAGGTTAATTCATGTTTATTATTCGAACTGAAAATATGCATTTTTTATGTGATCTTGCCAATGATTTTGTTCACATCTAAATAATTTTTGTTAATATTAATAATATTAATAAAAATTGAATTGAAAATCTTGAATTAATTTTTCTCAAATAATTTTTATTTTATATTCCATGTGATACAAGAAAATGCACTCACGATTTACATTGATAATGAAAATCGGTTTTAAGATTGATTGTAGAATTCGTATTGATTTTTTGTTCCTCTTGGTAAATTCTTAAACAGTTGAATAAGTCTTTTTTTTAACAACTTGTATAGTTCTATCTTATATAAATGAAGTTATATGGACGTAGTTATATGTATATTAGTCGCTGAAACTATGTTAAAAAGAAAAAAATATAATTGAGCTATTAAATTGATAATAAGTTGAATAGACTTAATAATTAAATAATAATATTTATTAATCTATAATTAGGCTTACATTTAGATTTAATATATTTGTTAATTATGAACTAATAAATAATTTATATGTACTATGTTATATGAAAAAGATAATCTATATGAAAAAGATTGTTTA